CAATGACAAGCGTTTGGGAAATGGTATCTGTGCAAAGGTGGGAAGATTTGGGTCGCGATGAATGAAGACTCATGAAGACTTGCATTTGGCAACATCGAATGTGCTACGCAATGGCTCGACATACCGTATTATCAGCGCACACTCATGAACCGAAATTCAGGTGAACGACGGCCAAGGCAAGCTTTAGATTCCTTATCGGTTAGAATTCATCACATCGTCTTTCTTATTCAGTCGGCTGCTTCGCGGTTGATGCTTTGAGCGAAAAACAGAAGGCATCGTCGTCCTCAAGGATTCCCAAAGCTCACTGACCGACCTATCGTCTAGTTCATGGCAATCAAAACCGAGACTGGCTGGGCCTTCCAAAACGTCGAGACGAAGCGCTTTCTCGGGCTACTGGTCTGTGTCGTAGCTTCGAAAGATGCTATTCGTCTCCCTACGGTTGATCATGAGTCCACGTGGGTCATAGTTCCTTATCATGAAGATACTTCTAAATTCAAGTGAGATGCATATCCTTCATTCGAATGTAGTCACTAACCCAGTGTCCAATACCCTAGGTCATGGATGCCGTTCACCTCGCGAGTGATGCTCAGTAAAAACGAAAGTCAGGTAGTTTTGAAATATATCAGCCAAGTCAGAGGAGAGTCAGAGGAACATCAAGCCCTAGTCAAATTGGCCGCGGAAGGAATAGCTTATGATCGCAACTTGATCCTCGATCAAAAGGGTCGAACTCAAGACAGCTAAAAGTCGAACAGACGTCGAATATCATACGCACCGGAATTGTAACTGACTTTTGGACTTAGAGCTTTTTTCATGTCCAAGGTAGCACGTGATCAACTTGATGGCCGCTGCCCGTGCCAGCACTTCGCGTCAGTCGCTCTTTCTCTCCCTCTCCCACTCCCCCCTGCCTCTCTCTCTTTCTCCTTCGTCTCCTCCCTTTGTCCTTCTCCCCCCTTTGCATTCTTCGGCATCTCTCGCAAGGTGAATGTGAAGGCTCTGGTATGTTTTGTTTCTTCGTTGACTTTGGAGCTTGCTAATGTGATTGTCTAAGATGCCCCGGGCCCCTCGCCCCTTTGCGCGCTTCCAACATCAGACTAGGGTGTAGAACGACACACCATCTTTCAGCCATAAGTAAATGCAGGAGATGATTGGGTAGCCTTGACGAGAAATGCTATCGGCGCAGTGCAACTTCCACATCCACCCGGAAGACAGTCTTCAGCAATTGGCACAATTGGCTCAAATCGTTCGTCTCGTTTGAAAAAGCATGGCGTTGCACTAACTCGAACCCATTCCACAGGGGCAGAGCACTGAATCGCGCTCTTCACCAAACAGCTTTGATGAATTATGCCAGTTATGTTACTCCCGTTCAATAGTGTAGAGTTCTGTCGACGTGTATTGTATACTGTCTGAGAAATATACATGATTTGCCATTTGACTACCCGTAAAAGTCAACCGAAAGTCAAACCGAAACCCATTCCGCGAATCCCGCCTCGGTGGGTTTTGCACGTTGATGTGATTACGGATGTTCGCCTTATGTTTGACTTGGATCTGACTTTAGCGAAAGAATTTAGTCGAAAATAACGACAAAAAGGCAAACATGTTCGGCCTTCGACGTTTCTCCGACTTTCATCTGAATTTCGTTTTCACTGAGAGTGATGGACCTCCATTGGGGACAGGCTCTCAATGACGATCCAATTCATATGTGCTCCAGCGGCGATGAAAATTGGCAATGGTGGAGGTTCGAACTTGGTAAGCACCATTTTGCCATTCGCAAGGCTTTTCCATCTCACAACACATGTTATCCTAGTAAGTTCGGAGTGGGAGAGCAACGGGGTAGGCGCTGAAGCTGAACCCGGCGAGCCTGAAAAGAAGTGGTATATTCTGTATTAGCTTTCCCGCGAGCTTCAATTCGAGTCGAAGTCTATACGTTAGATGAATAGCATCTTGTTAACCGATATCACTGCCTTGAAGGCGTCTCCCATGCGACTCTGTGACATTGGGCATGTCACTCCCTCGTCGTTCAAACTTATTGGCCAAGACCAGCTTCGCCTCTCGTCCAGAAATTAAGCGCCCGTCGGAGAACAGTTGACACGTGAATTGCATTCGAAATACCATAGTTGGAAATGAGATAACATTTGAGCTTTTACGCAAACTTTGTAACTAAATGGATCGCTCAGTCATTGTATTCGAGATGTGAGCATGAGGGTATCCATGGCAGCGCACCCAATATAAGCTCCTTTGTTCCTCTTTGTTATCTTCGTGAACGTTGATACAAGCGCCTCAAAAGACAAGGCTAATCTTCTCTCGACTCCAAGCGTTCGTTCAACTGTTCGTTCAGCGACCGTCTTGAGACTTTCCAAAGCAACCTAAATTAATGACACGCCTCGGTTAGTAATGAAGCTTGAAAAAGAGGAAGGAGATTCGAAGATCATCGGGGCCCGAGGATGGTTCAGGTAATGGGAAAAAGCGAAAAAAGCGTGCACCAAGTCTCGGCGACGAGCTAAAGAAGGACCCACCAGAATCCAAGTGAAACGCCTCCGGCAGCAATGGTGTTCGCCACGTCCATTCCAAGCCCTTGTGCAAAGACCATGTAAAGCATAAGAAGGCTGAGGGCTGAGAGAAGTTGGAGAGCACTATAGCAAGAGTTAGCGATGAGTTTAGGATCGGCGGTTCCGATATACGAAACAGAATTTCAAGTTGGAAATGAAGAAAAAGAGCGTGTAAGGAAGGAATTTGCATCCGAAAAGGGATGACACGGTATGGGTGACACGTGTAAAGGAGATGAAGAGTAGATGCCAGAGGAACCTCTGGTGCGTAACGAGAATATGAACTACTCACTCTGACGAAGCCAAGATCTGCATATTCTTCTCGCTCGGTACGAGCTCAAGGAAATAGGTCATACAAGGTACGACTGGGGAGTAAGCCTAAAGAAGAAATAAAACGGTCGTCAGTCACAGAGTCGAGGTATGCGCAAGGTGAGCCAAATGAATGGAAAACGCACCCCGAATCCACTGAGGAAAACTCCAACCAATGACGGCGACAAATTAGCAGTCCTATCGCCTCTAACACCGTCGTCGAAGGTGTCGTTGGCATCAAGAGCAACATCACCTCCGATGGGAAGCTCCATCGCAGATTTCAAGGTGAACCCGACGATCAAGAGGCCAACGGGGAGTAGGAGAGTCCCAAGAGACGCGCGGAAGAGAAAGCGTTGAGGAGAGACGTGCCGGGAGCGCGAGGCATACAGGTCGATGAGAAAGCCTGAAACGAGGGACCCTACTGTAGGGGAGAATGGGTTTTAGCCAGCGCGAAGGAGGGAAGGAGAGTAGAGATTCGAGACTTACACCCCATCCCAAGCATTCCAACAGGTAAAAACCTCCTAAACGCAATCTTGTCTGATGCCGAACTTAAGTGCAGTGTCTGGCAACAGGGGGATGATCAGCGTTTGTCACAGAAACTGGGAGGAGCTGGTGAGAAACGCGTACCCATTGATCGAATTGGGATACCTCCATCCATAGTACTATACCATGATGCAAGACGAGACTTAGATTCGGAACCTTGGATTAAGTGAAGAGAACGCACGAGCGATAGAAGCATAGATTGGTGCACCACTTGCATAACTCTAGACGTAACAGTAAGTTTCAAAGTATGAAGTGTGAACTAGCAGCAGCTGACGTACCAACGCAACAACGTTTCTCAGCCGAAGTAGAGAAAGAGGTTCGAAAGGGTTCATGGAACGTGCATGAGCTTGAGATAGGGTATCGGCAACACCAGAAGTAGAAGGCGTTGCCCCGTTACGTCCATTCTGAAGTGCGGCTGAGATTGACTGCTGTCCATTCGAGTGTTGACCGTTCGAAGAGGTTCCTTCTACTGGGGAAGTTTCATGGGAGCGGTAGACGTCGTAGAAAACTGTGGAGGGAGGCAGTCTTCTGACCAGGAGCCAGGAGATCAGGGTGGGTGCCCCGATGAAACCTTCCGTCAACCGCCAGGATTGGTAAGGCGAGACAGATAACATTGGCGCGATATGTGTTCTGATTAGTACTGTCAACGCTGATTTAGATGAGGACTTTCAGAGCAAGAGATGAGCAAAACGTACGACAAAGGAAGGGGGCGATCGCAGCACCAGCCATCGAAGCCTGAGGAAGAGAGGCAAACGCGCGGTTTAGCTCAAGGCTTCATATCAGCCAACGAGAGGACGACGCACGAAGAGGTATAATCCAATGGCTTTTCCTTTCATTCCACTGCCGAAGTGTTCGCCTACAATCCCGATGCCAGTGGACCATACGGGCGCAATTCCAAAGTACTGAACCGTTTGGCCGAGCAAAAGCCATGCCGTCGACTGTGAGGAGACGATGAGGAGTGAGCCTACAGTTTGAACGAGCAAAGCTCCAGCGAGAACACGGGTCTTTCCATCTGTTCTGGATGAGTATGGCAATTTGTTAGAGGATGAGAACCTACGCGTTGCAGAGTAGACAGAAGAGAAAAGGACTCCCAGAGTGGCAGCACAGAATCGTAAGAGGTCAGACGAGAAGCTTAAATTTGGTTATTATGCTGCGGTTGAAGAAATCGAAACGGACAAACCTTTCTATTGTGTCGGGAATGCCCAACAAGAGGAGCATATCGTGCCATTGGATATAGTAAGTCCAGAAAGAGCAAGCTATAATCCGCTTTACAGCTATATAAGCGCGTCTACCATTGAACAAACTCACTGGAGGCGAATCCTGCCAATCCCAGTGTACCCAGCACCCGCAGCTTCTCCCGATACCTTTCCTCTTCTAAAGGTGATCCAAGCAGCGGCGAATCCTCAGTATTTCGACCTTCAGGCATTATCGATCTCCTTGTAGTATCGTGTGGAAGGGTATAGGGATGCGTAAGGATGGTGGTGGTGCATGTCCAACCAAGTCGTGGCTCCGTTTGTGATGGAAGTCGCGGTAAGAGTCATGACGCCGCGGTGACATTGTACTAGGTATAACTGATGTAGGGCACAAGTTTTCTGCCATCCAGGCGCCCTCGTAGCTTAATGGTTATGGCGCCAGACTTCTAATCTGGAGGTTGCGAGTTCGAGTCTCGCCGTGGGTACTAAAGAAGCAGTTGTCACTGGTGTGCCAGGTTATGTTTTTGCGTAGATGCACCATCGACCAAGCGGCACCAGTCTCTGCCGCCATCCTATACATGTTATAACCAACATACCATTCTGTGAAAGAATTCGCCATCTCTAAGCTGATGATCATAGGCATTAAATCAGAGCAAACCCCTAACACGCCTTTCAACCCAACTGTCTCTCCGCGCCCAGCCCTCCACATCACCATCCCTTCACTCCAACACCCTCATTCTTCGTTCCATGTTGCGGAGAATGTTGCACCGTCGGTATCGGTGGGTACTATTTACTCCCTTATCGCAGAGAACCTGGCCAACAGGTCGGTTTCCACCCCTTATCGCAATGAAAGCCCGAAAACTTGGTATCGGGGAATAGGACACTCAAAAGTTTAGCCAAGGGACCGACCGTATGGCTCGCTTGTCGGCGCTGGTTCATTTCACTTCTTCTTCTTGAGGGGTTTCGCGGAGGTGACGTCGAAGTATCATTTGATCACTTTTAGGGAGAGGGGAAAGCGTATCTGACCTGATATGTCGATGTCGCACGAGGAGTGGTGCGACTGAACGTCCACTTTATTCACCGGGCGGATGACCTTGAAAAAGTGAGTACTACGCCTTCACCGGAGTATGATCTCGGAGAACCACTATGCCTTTGGATCTGGTCAAGAAATGCAAGATTTTGAAGCTTGCTCATTAGATCCCTATTAGCTCGTTGGTCGATCTCCCTATCACCCGCTCAGGCGGCGAGAAGTTCCTCCAGGAGTCACGATCACCCACGAAACGCACGTTCACTCTGGTACCACTCTCGCGAATCACACTCCAGGGTCCACGTTCCACGCTACGTTGACGTCGGCAAAGGCAAACTTTGCTGCCAGGAACGAGGTGTGCGACGTGTCGAGATGAACAGATCGTGATCCACTGGGTCATCGGAGTGCGTTCACCCGTTGGTATTTCAAGAGCGGGCTAGGAAGTACTACAGGGAGGAACGATTGCCGATGGGTCTTCGATAGATAAAAGTCGAATCAGGATCCAAAGGGTTTAGGCGGCCGATGATAAGCCGGAGACTGTGGACTACCTTCGTTTGTGCCCATGAAACAGTGTGGCGGACATGATAGTGACGGACGAAAATGAGGAGCGTCGAGATTGATTGTGACACTTTAGAACCTGCTTGATAGCAAACTTAGAGTAGGTTTAACCTTTTCATACTTCTGATAAGGAGGAAGACTGTGACTTGTGCCCGACTTCTGTGATTGAGCCATGACTCTTCAACCAACGAGGCCCTATATGGGTCGCTTCTTCTGCCTCATCGGAGAACCAAAGGCTGCGATACCTTCCAACATTCGCCGCTAAACGGTGTTCTGGAACATGGACCTAGGACAAGAGTCTCGACACTGATTTCGGTGAGTCAAGACCTACGGCTGAACCCATGGTCAATGATTCTCGACTTGCTCCAAGCTGAGCGTGGCATCGTCCTGCTCAGCGGTACCTTGTACTCAAGCGGTCGATCTTCCTTTCCCTCTTGTTACCTTGTTTAGGTTCTTCATGTTTCTACAATACCGTGAGACCTCCAAGAACAACGGTCGCTTCCCGCTTTCGAGTTCGCCACACCGGAGCATCCCGCCGTCTTCCTTGTTAGACATTCATTCCCGCGGAAATATGATTCCAAACTGTCGAGCTCAAGAGACCGGGTTAACTAAGAAGGCCCAGGTCATTCACCTCTGAATGTTCAACTCTGGTTGTGTCTCTTCATTTGGAAACGAGTGGGCCCACCATTTCGACCATGTTTTCCAATGGAAAATCTATACGTAAACTAGCAAAGCAGCATATACGGAATACAACATGGCGTACATGTCGACCACTTTCTGCCACATCGAGACACCAATAGCCTCGTGTTCAACCCAATAGCCGCTCAAACCCAAATAAATCCTTCATTTAGCGTCCATGGGGGTAAGCGCCCCCAAGGATCATCCAAGCCAGGTTCCATTGTCCTTTCGAAGTCTGATGGGAATGGCTTTTGCGACACCTACGGGACGGAGAAAGTGGCGATATCTGAGTGTGAAATCAAGCGGATGCTTCGGTGTTCAAATGGTAGATCTGACGGATCTGAGCGGGGGTTACAGTAGATGGTGGCGGATGTCCCTGTCGAAAGGTAATCTATCAGATAAACGAGTACGGTGAGCGTCTGCAATTACTTTCAGATCGAGTCACCCGGTTAGAACCTGGATATAGCCTGCAGAACGGGTGTTAGTCTTCGTAAGGGTGTGCAGATTGGTATTCGGGCACGACCCTTCAGACCCGACAAATTTCAATTTCGCAATGCCCGAACCGTGCCAAATTCCAATGAACGGGATAGCTGGATGACACGACCCTGACCACCTGGTAGTCAAAGCTGTTAAGCGCCCAGGTCGGACTTTTCGCAAGGTACGATCTGCGCTGCACCGAGGCCCAAGCACCGAACGGATCTTCCAAAAGGCTGTTCTTCAAAGATCCTCTGCTGAAATGCCGTGGATCATAGTATCGCATCTATTTGATTTATCTTACTTGTGATAGGTAGGTAAAGTGGGTGCTTAGATGGACAGAGAAGCGTCGGTGCATCGGAGACGGCTGTGAAGCGATGCACAGTAAAGGTGCTGTGCACAGAGGACATTCGGTGAGCGAAATGTGAGTAATTGCCCCGTGTCATTTCGCTGAAGACGTGAAGCACGCCACTAGGGATAAGCAAGTGTTGGCTATACACACCTTTCAATATCTCGCTACAGAGGCAGAATTCCCGCAACTGACGTCGAGGGTTATCGCTGTAAATATGGAATACGGGATCGAAATTAGAGGAACTCAAGCACGGATGAAGTAATGGTGGTACCTAAGCGCACCCAATGGAGCGTCCTCCTCTACCCCTCTCATGCCTAACATTCCTCTCTTGCACGCAATGGAGTGTAGCACATCCCCTCTTTCACAATTGGAGTCACCCCACAGCCCTCATTTCCGCTGAAGTCGATGGTGGAGTTCTCTCTACGAGAGATAGGTCGTTCCTGAGATCGTTCGATCAACTGAACAGGGGGGGTGGAGTCATCCAGAAGGCGAGCAAGCCGAGGTTTCCTAGATAAGATTTGCTTGGTGGTCGTTGTGGATGGACGTCCAGCTTTGGGATCAGATAACTAGTTCTCAGAGTGATAGAGAGTCGTCGTTTACACTTCGAGCCATAGAATTCACGCTTATCATATTAACCGCTCGAATGTGCGCCACGTTCAGAGGGTGGTTGCCCTCCTCAACTCTTGCGGCCTGTGTTGATATCTTATTTCGCAAACTCTAACTAGGATGTAGCTTTATGATTTTGTCTCTACATGACATCTAGAAAGCTAAGACGCTAAATCTAAGTTACTATAACTTTGAGTGATTATTACCACTCCCCTCGTTCCACTCCGTTATCTTGACCACTGGAGCTCATCCAACGGAAGAATTCACAGACACCGCTGGCATCCCCTGCCGACGGGGCCATGTCATATCGACTCGACGCCGACGTCTCTTCAACTTCTTTCCGCAAAGCAAGGGACCCTCCTTCCTTTTCCAACCATCTTCCACCCACGGCACGACGGATGATTTACACACACCCAACGCTTCCGCTTCCTTTTCCACATATCAAAAAAAACAGTCATAACATCATTCACAATAACCTTTCGAGATTCGAAGCCAACAGTACACGCTTCTCGCTCCGAAAGAAATTCTGGTTCCGTTCTATACAGCTCCAGCTTCCGAGGGCTCAGCTGACCTGGCCCTTTACCGAAAGTAGGTAGCTTCTTTGCTTCTTGACTCCATTCGCCTTTTGCTTCTTCGCCGAATTTTGCCAGGCCCCCCTTCTGATGTTGTTTGCAACACTTGTGCAGCGTGCTTCGTTTTCTCTCACACCAGCGAAACAAGGTACTGGGAACTTGGAACGTTCTGATGGAAGGTGAAGAGGTGGTTATGTCATAGGGTGGGTGGGTTTGGATATACGGAGCGGTATCATTGTGGTTGCTGGTTTCAGTGAGTGGTCGTTAGCCAGGAGTCCATAGGGGATACAAGAGTAGGTACCAGAGAGGAACAAGAGGAGGCGCAAATAGTTTGACAAGCGAAGTACTTGGTCTCGAGGCGGTCCAAGCGCAGCAAAAGTCATCCATTCATCCTCACGCAGTCATCCCGACGCTCAGTCATCCTGAAATTCTTCGGACAGCCCGCATTACATGGCCACGAGGCAGCGCAAGCGGCGCATCATTGCGCGGTGACATCTCAATTGACGGTGGTGTTTTTGCTTGACGTCGGGCATTCTGACTTTCAAGGCAGTGCGATCCTCAATAAGCGAAACGAAAGAGAGACTGCAGCTGACTCGATCCTGGTTGTACGGTAGTATGTATCGGTCATGCAATAGCCCTGTAGCCGGTCATGATCATCTCATTTCCATCGGCGTACGTAGAGAGGAAAATCCCTGCTGTTTCGAACAGGCGAGCGTTTCAAGCCCGTCGACGTCGCCCACGAATTCATTCAATTCAATTTATTGATATCGTCGCTTTAGATTCCCGAATCCCGACTTGACTGAGCGCGCCACGGCAAAGTAAATAACCGGACCCGTTTCACCGGGAATAGATAGCGCGGGTACCTGCAAAGGGTTACGGACGTACGTTATGGTCCATACTGCAAGTACGCAATTTGGTCACACGGACGAGAGCTGGTCAAACTAGCGTTCTCCGCCGGTCAATAGAAAGTCAGGGTCAAGCAAGTATGTGCAACTAATGTACTTGGATGTGAAGCGCTGCGACGTCAACGCATACAAGGCCGACGTTCACGTTTCCCGACTCACCGCACAATTATAACAACGATCATTGAGCTCTACGCCGTCGTCGCCGTGCTGTTGCGCGTTCGTTGTCTGTCATTGAGCTTAGAATGTAGGTTAGTCCTTACCGACCGACTGAGGATTATCCGTCGTTATACTCCTGTCGTTGTAAGTTGGGAAA